AATCCGGCTGAGCCAACCCAATACAAAAGGTTAGCCCCTTTCTGCTCAGGCTGCCTGGTTGAATTAACCTGTGCATCCTGGCCTACTGTAAATTTGTTCCTGTCCCATTCGTTCCATTACAGTGTTGGCATTTCCCTGCCATGTCTTACCTAGAAACCAGTGGGATGGCTGAGCACAATTCTGCCCTGAATTCTGCATCCCGACCCCTTATTGGTGCTGCACAGAGCAGGGGCATTAACTTCTCCAGGGCATGGCAGTCCCTCAGTTGGCTCCTGGGCACGGTCCCTCCAGCTGCGGCTAGGCTGCATTCTGATGGCAAGTTCCTCGGGGGCTGTACCAGGAAGGAGAAAAGCAGATTTCTGGGCTTGCCTGTTTCTAAAACCCACTGTGTCCAGAGACTGTCCTTGCTTCTCCTTTGCTCCAAGTCTCCTTGCTGTTGAACCCTGTGGAGACAGCAGTGAGGAAAGTCTGCCTGGTTTTGCTTCTGAGCTCACTGGATGATGTAGATGCTGCTGCTGGTGTAGATGTGAGTTGCCATGGGGAGCCCAACTGAAGCTGTTAGCAGAGGCAAGCAATAGTGTAAAACATTGTCCGGTGTTTTCCTAAGCACATTTTTACAGCACAGGGACTCTAGTAGTCTCTGGTTGTAGCTCAGACGTATAGAGCTGCTCTTAGCAGCATAATTCAGATTTTAAAATCTTTATGTTCTGATCCCTCTCTCAGCAGCCTACCTCCCCGACGACCCCTAACAAGCCAGTAGTGCCATTGGAGTGGGCAGCTGGAGTGGTACCAAAACCTGACCCTACTGTCATTAACAAGCACGTTCGAAAGCTGGTGGATGTAAGTATTTGGAAGAATATACTGGTCAAAGAGAATGATTGCTTTGATATCATCATTACTAATTTCAAGCTTTTCAAGATGTTGTTATGGTTGGGATTAATTTCAGACATTCAATAACAAATTTGAGCCTTTGCTGATACTTTCAGATATATTTATACTTTATTCCTGCAGTCGTTGATGGAATTCATAGGCAGGCTTCTCGATACAAAGGAGCAAAATTTCAGGACCATCCACAGCCTGGCTCCTGTTTGACTACCAAATGGATTTGATTACTAAATATAAATTCAGATGGCAAAGTTGAATTTTTGCAGCCCTAGTCACCCAGTTTATGTCTGGTAAATGACAGATGGAAACAAAAATACTTAGAAACAAGAAGTCATGCATTATTCAATCCAGAAAAGGTTTCCAGAAACCCTATTTTTGATTTTCAACTTGCTGTCATTTGGCTGTCCAGGGCATACTGCGTATGGTAAAGAAAGCACTGTCTTGGTATCGCTTTAAAAATCTGGGCATGAGGTCATGGAGAGTTGTATCTGGGATCTTCCAGCTTCAGTTTGGCAGGTGATATGTTAGGTGATGCAAACAAAACCAAACACTACAAGGCTCCTTTGGAGAGACTAAACCTTGTGTTGGTGTGTAAGGGACTTTTAGTGATGTGAACAGCATGCAGAGCAACCAGGAATGTGTTGTAGATAATGAAGCAAAATTTCCTTCTGCTTTTTACAATTTAATAACCAAGTCTGGGAAGAACTATTAAATTCTGACCTCATCTATGTTACAGGTCATGAATTGGGGTTATGTTATTTAAGATAACTTAAACAAAGTCTTCAGTTCTCTCACTCAGACTTCAAATATATCTTGTGGTTTACTTTTTGTACATGCTCTTTTTTTACAAAAAGTTTCATTTTTCTTTTAAAGTAGGATGCCAGAACTGCACATGCTGTTCCTGCATTGCTTTTGTCAGTGCCATATGTGTTGATAAAAATCACTCCACATCCAAACCTCTCTTTGATAGCTTGTTTAAATAGGAAGGTTGTCACAAGTACTTAATCTTTCCAGAATGTGCTGGGTGGGGGGGTTGTTCTTGTGGGTGGGGGAGATGCAGTCCCCCATTCCACGATTTTGGCCTGGTTCAGGATGTATGATTTTGAATTTGAAGGGATTAAATCATGGGTTTGGGGTGTTAGGATACAGCTTACCAAGAGGCTCACATCACTCTACAGCTGTCTTCATTTTCCAGTCTTTGTCACTTACTAGCTGCTTTGAGTTGTGCTTTGAAGCATTATTTTTATTACTAGAAGTGTTGAATACTTCTTGCGTTTGTGTAGAGATTCCTTCTTCACGATGTATTTTTGGGGTCAGCAAGTCATCAATTACAGGTCATTTGATAGGTGTTTACAAAATGACTTCATCACGTTCTTGTTAGAATAAGGATAATGCAAACAACTTTCAGAGGTCTTGGTGTATTAAATTCTTGTCTTTGTCAACCAAATTTTAATCTAATAGGAGAGCTTATGCTTCAGTATGTGTTTTTCAGATAGTTGTGTTGACTTTGACACTCATGTTTTTCCCATCAGCACCCCTTGCACATCTCAGCAGTCACTAAAACAGAATATAGTAGTTCTTTATCAGCTAAGGAGGGCTTCCATCACTTTGAGAACTTTTATATTTGATCCTATGTCTGCTTTTACTTAGTGGTGAGCTGGGGTGGGTTGGTGGGAGGGAATTATTCGTTACATAGAAAATGCTTATGATCTGGATGTCAAAATATTAGTAAACAAATTGGATTGAAACAGTACCATGGCACAGCAGAGGTGACCAACTAAAAGTGAAGCCAAAACCATCTGGAATACTCATGGGAAAGCTGCTGTTGGGTTGGGGGGGTTGTTGTTTGGGGGTTTTTTTTGTGTACGCATGATTAAAAGGCATTCTTAATTAAGCAAAGGAAATATGTCACATGGGGCAGAATTTTAGTGATGTTTCCAATAAAGGAAAAAAAAATGAAGCAAGAATAATTGTATCTGAAGAGGTATGGAGTACTATCACTAGAGAAATATTGAGGTCAAGTTTTCTTTGAAAATTAGCTACTTTTTCCCCTACAGTCCAATAAATGTGCATATTGAATTACCAAGTAAGAATAAAAGGAATAAAACAAGGCAGCAGAGCATCTGATTAGTAATATTAAACTTTAAGTTACACATAAGTTTGAAGAGCTGGTATATAGAATAGTACAATTTTATTTTTTCTTTCCCAGTCTGTCTTTAGGAACTATGATCATGACCACGATGGCTATATTTCTCAGGAAGACTTTGAAAGTATAGCTGCCAACTTCCCTTTTCTGGACTCTTTCTGTGTGCTAGACAAAGACCAGTAAGTTTGGAGAATTCTTAGTGTGGCTGTTTGTTTTTTGCTTTCCTCAATTTAAAACCTCATGAAATCCAAATATTGAAGAAACAATGTCTCCCAAGCTTCTTGTATCTGACATCTCACTGAAGATCGCTGAAGGCTGAATTCTGTTCTCTTTCAACTTCTCTAAAGTAGAAGTAGTTGCTTCTATAAGCCCAGCCACATCGGAGTCCTGCTTTACCTAGTATTTTTTAAAAACCATTCCTGTAATAGCTTAATT